TGGCAGAGTATTAATCTAATAATATTCTTTCTAGTAATATTTTATCTTTTTTGTTTTGCTTTGTTTTTTTGAGTTGGAGTCTCACTCTGTCACCCAGGCTGGAGTGCAGTGGCATGCTTACAGTCACCATAGCCTTGACCTGCTGGGCTCCGGCAATCCTTCTGCCTCAGCCTTCCAAGTAGCTGGAACTACAGGTAACACGCCACCACGTCTGGCTAATTTTTTAATTTATTGTAGAGATGAGGTCTCACCAAGTTGCCCAGGCAGGTCTCGAATCCGTGCGCTCAGGCAATCCGTTCACCTCAGCCTCCCAAAGTGCAGGGATTTAGGTGTAAGCCACCACATCTGGCCATATTTTATATTTTCAAAGAATATTATTTTACAAAAATTTGGATAGCCTCTGCTATGAACTGAATGTGTCCTCCAAAATTCATGTGTTGAGACTTAACAGCCAATGTGACAGCATCAGGAAGTAAGGCCTTCAGGAGATGATCAAGCCACAAGGGCTCCCAGCATAGATGGGATCAAGGCCCATGTGCAGGGCTTGGTCCTTGTGGGACTTTCTGGCCTTATGCCCTGTGAGGACACAGCACTCATTCTCATCTGCCCTCTGTTTCTCCCCCTGTGTGAGGACACCTGAACAGCACCGGGCTCGGTGGCTCAGCCTGTAATCCCGCGACTTTCGGAGGCTGAGGTGAGTGGATTGCCTGAGTCCGCCGGCTCGAGACTCGCCTGGGCACTGAGAACTCATCTCTACAATAAATCAAAAAATCAGCCAGGCGTGGTAGCGCATGCCTGTAATTCCAGCTACTCAGAAGGCTGAGGCGGAAGGATCGCCGGAGCCCAGCGGGTAGAGGCTGCGGTGGCCGGGAGCGGCCACTGCACTCCAGTCTGGGCGACCGAGTGAGACTCCAACTCAAACAAAAAAAAAATTTTTTTTTTAAATAAATCAGTGGGCTTTTTTATTTTTAAAAAATTTATTTTATTGACTTTTAGAGATAGACTCTCACTCTGTTGCTCAGGCTAGAGTGCCTGTAATCCCAGTGCCTTGGGAAGCTGAGAAGGGAAGATCACTTGAGATCAGGAGTTTGAGACCAACCTGGTCAATATAGCTAGACCCTATCTTTACAAAAAAAATTTTTTAAAATTAGTCAGACATGGCAGCACATGCCAGTAGTCCCAGCTACTTGGGAGGCTGAGGCAGGAGGATTGCTTGAACCTGGGAGGTTGAGGCAGCAGTGAGCTATGATTATGACACTGCACACTAGCTTGTGCAATATAGCAAGACTTTGTCTCCAAAATAAAAAAAAAATAGACAATAAATTATGATGAAATTTTAAATAAGAATGAAATAATGAATGAAAGACAGTTTTTAAATGTGTAATCCTGGAAAAGCAAACAGCTAATCTCACTCACCATGTACATTTAAATACTCATTACAGATTTGAGCATTCTGTTAAATTTTTTAAGTTTCTATATATTTCTGAATAGATACAAGATACATATGGCATAAAACCCGAAAGATAAGAATGTAAAATATAGTAAAAACTAAGTTTTCCTTCCTGTTCCGCCCACCTACCAATCCAACTCCCTTTCCTCAAAGTATATATGTATGTTTAAGACAAAAGATATCACCCCCCTCTGAAGCTCACTTCTTCCCAATTAACTTTCACTAGGAAGTAAGAGTCTTTTGAATAACTCATGTCTAATTGCTTTCATTTTATTTGTTCTTCAAAAGAAGTTCAATGTAAGGAATATTTTCAAGATAAGATGTCTCACAGAAGAATGAAGTTTCCCTAAACATTTGTTCTAAAACTTTTTATATCTGCCATATTGAGTAAATATGCAGTACAATTTTTCTTTACTTTTTAATTTACTGGGAAAAAAAGCTGTATGCTTTGAATGAATGAAATGCTCATTACAAAAAATCTTTTAAAGAAAAGATGCTCTATCTCTCTCTTAAACATATGAATTAAGTCACATCAGTCAAAAGACGTTAACCCCAATACATTTCCACTTATTCTTAACTGATTTTAAATTATTTGTAATTAACATATTTTTCTATATTAATGAATTTTTGAAAAAAGCTTAAGAATACTTAAAAACAGGTCTGTATATGTTAAGCAAACTCTCTTCAATCATACTTACACAAGAAAACCTTACTCCAAAAAGTCAAGGGTATACAAAAAGGTGTCAGCCAAGCCTCTGTTTAAATTACCAAAAATCTGAATTACTAGAGACAAAATTAAAAGATATACTGCAGTGACAAAGAAAAAACTTGGCAGGGGCTCTTGTTCACACTTACAGTTTTTCTTCATATGAACTAAGCAAAGACAAGTCTTTAGAAAAGATATGCTACATAATGACTTGCAGGTACACTGATTTTTAATCTATCCTATTTTCCTTCTATTTCTAAGGCCCTGACCTACTTCACATTTTCTTTCCTTTGGCCTAAACTATTACAGTAAATTCTTTACTGGTTTCTCCTTTTCTCTTTTAGTGAGGCTCCATGGAAAAAGGGTTTTTGTAGTTAAAAAAAAAAAGAAAAAAAGCTTAGCATGTGCTAGGTTAAATGATGTTTAAACCCCGCCCCCCCTTTTTTTGGCCATGCACAGTGGCTCATACCACTAATCCCAGTTCTTGGAAAGCCAAAGAGGAAGGATTGCTTAAGCCCAGAAGTTCAAGACCAGCATGAGCAACATAGTGAGACTTCATCTCTATAAAAAATAAAAAAAATTAGCTGGGCATGGTGGCATATACCTGCAGTCCCAGCCACTCAGGAGGCTGAGGCAGAAGGATTGCCTGAGCCCAGAAGGTCGAGGCTGTGGTGAACTGTGATCATGCTACTGCACTCCAGCCTGGATAACAGAGTGAGACCCTCAACTAAAACACAAAAAACATTTTAAAACCTTCTCACTGCCTTTATTATTCCAGGTACACTGTAAATCCCAGTATGTCTCCCTTATTATGGGGACATGCTCCAAGACTCCCAATGGATGCTTACAACTGCATACAATACCAAACCCTAGATACACTGTTTCTTTCCTATACATACATACACATGCTAAAGCTTAATTTATAAATTAGACACAGTAAGAGATTAACAACAATAACTAATTTGAGCTATTATTAGGAAAGAATTAAGGGTGACTTGAACACAAGCCCTGCAATGCCTTGACAGTTGACCTGATAACCAGGACAGCTCCCGAGCGGCCAGTGGAGAGGGCAGGGTGGACAGTGTGGATACACTGAATGAGGGATGACTCACGCTTTGGGTGGAACAAAGCAGGACAGCATGAGTTTCCATCATGCTGCTGGGAGCCGCATGCAACTTATAGCCTATGCATTATTAACTTCTGTTGTACAACTCTTCCTTAATAATATGCTAGTGTTTCTAAACAGCATGAGAAATGTTGGCCCAATAGTCAATTGCTCTGCCTTTACTGGCCAACTTTTTTTTTTGCTGGGCTTCCAGGACCCTGAACACCTACTGCCCTTTATGCCTCTGTGTCTATTCCAATGATGCCTCTCCAGCTGCAGTGTCCTCTCGTCTCTCCTTATGGCAATCATGCTCACTGTGAAAGCCTACATTCAAAAGGCAGCTGGTCCAGGAAGGCTTTTCAAATTCTCCCATTAGATTTATTTTCTACTTCCCTCAATAACTCTATAACGTTAGGCCAGGCTCAGTGGCTCAGCCTGTAATCCCAGCACTTTGGGAGGCTGAGGTGAGTGGATTGCCTGAGCCTGCAGATTTGAGACCAGCCCAGGCAACTTGGCAAGACCTCATCTCTACAATAAATAAAAAATTAGTCAGGCTCGGTGGCTCAGCCTGTAATCCCACGCCTTTGGGAGGCTGAGGT